CTGCTGCGCCATGTGGGTCAGCTCCCAGGCTGGGGTTTGAAACTCAGGATGTGGCAGTGGTAGCGCTGAGACTTAACCCCTAGGACACCAGGGAGGCCCATTTGTTTGATTTTTTTAAAACAGATTTGAAGAGCAAATACCCATCAGAAGGGTCACTGCTGAGATCTCACTTGCCGTATGCTGGGTGTTATGCAATCTCAGCCGGCATGCAGTCACAGAAAGATCCAACACAAGGCCAAGCTAAGCTGAAGTTCCGAGTGTTGAATTTGAAAAAACACTGCAATTGGTTGTCCTTAACACTATTAATCAGGCAGTTCAATTTAGTAAAATCCCTTTGGCCCCAATGGTAGCATATGTAAGGATCGTTTCTCCCGAGGTTTACAAAGGATAATACAATCTGGAGGGAAATCTCAAGCTAAATACCTCACTGTCCAGATGGTAGCAGCTGATAAACTGGCTCAGTGTCCTCCAGAGTTGTTGGATGTGATCTTGGATGAGAACCAGCTGGAGGAGGCCTGTGAGCAGCTTGCCAACCCTCTGGAGGCCCCTGGAAGGCCACCCAGCAGCAATCCTCCAAACCCTCTTTTCAGCCTTATTTCAGCTCTGCGTGTAGCCCTACGCCGGCCTCTAACTCTCAGGGTTCTCATGTGGTCAGAGGACAATCACTCTGTTCCAGCCCACTCTGTTCCCGAGGCTGAAGACCCCTACCTAGGACCAGTCACGAAACCGCATCGGCTCCTCCTCCTCTACCCAGCACCACGGCCATCGCAGAGGTACAAGCGAGGTCTCTCCAGACAACAGCTGTTTGATCTGGAAACCCAGGAGAGTCACGACTCTGCCAGGTGGAGCCCAAGGAAGTCTCTCGCAGGAACCCAAGAACCACTATGCTCCCCGCTGTGACCGCAGCCACAGCACAGGGGGGCGGAGGGAGCAGAAGCAGACATGGGGAGTCTTGGCACCATCCCAGGGACCTGGATGGGAGGGACCCAATGACTTTACCCTTTTGTGTGCCTTTTTTTTTTTTTGGTCTTTTATAACAGCAGCATCAAACTAATTCTTTGGGGTTCTACATTGCAATCATATGTGACCTGTCTTGTATATTTTCTATTGCTGTTGCTTGATAGCAATAGCGTGAAATAGAGAAACATTTTTTTTTCTTTTGTAAACATTCTATAAATTTGCCTGATACAGCTGGAGTCCTCCGGTTATACTTTAGACTTTCCATAAACGGGACTAGCTGCCACTTGAACAAGATCTGTTGCCATCCAGGTGGTATTAGTATTTTATGAGCTGTAGCTGATGTTTTCAGAAATTAGTTGATACATTCTAGCAAGCCAGAATCAGCCCAGATATAATGTAATTTCTTGCTTCTATAGATTTTTATAATATGTAGGCACCTGATTTGCATACTAGTTCATCCACAGGCCACCGCTGCTTATACCTCTGGTGACTAAACTTGGAGACAGATTCACTCTTGGCTTACACAAAGGGGATCAAAGTTAGAATCTACTTCCATGTGAAAAAAAGACAATGTGTGGTCCCTTGTTCAAAATGCAGCAAGAGTAACTTTGTAAAGGTACATTTGAAGCATTTTCCTTTTTTATGCAGTCTCTTTCAAATTTATCATGTTTTATTTACTACTAATGTTTTAAGTAAGAAAATTTAAGGGTTTCCCTGGTGGCACAAGGGGTTAAGACACAACCTATGAAGCTATCTGCAACTACTGCAGCACAAGTTCAATCCCCAGCCAGGGAACTACCCACATGGCGCAACAGACCACTCCTGACTCACCTGCTACTCTCCTCAGCAGTGTATTTCAGTGATTCCTCCTGTTCTGCTCCCCGCTCTGTCTCTGGTGAATTCTCTCACCCCCTGCACCTCTGGCCTGTACCCCAGTTCTTGTATGCATAAATAAATAAATCTTTAAAAAAATTAAAATGAAAATAATTAGCGTGAGTTTTACCATTCTTCTAAATATTATCTAATGCTCTTTTAAATGCAAATACCAGAGCATTTAATTTATACGCAGAATCACAAAGTAAACAATTCCTATTTGGTGGCTTGTCTTTAAGGGTGTCCAGCTGAGCAGGAGAGACCAAGGCCAGACTGGTGGGAGGGAAGGAGAGGGGCCCCCTGGGAAGAACCGACCAAGAGAATGCTCTGGAGTCGAGGGATAATGTGTAGGGTGGGTACAAACCTTCAAAGGAACCTGGGAGCCCAGCCCCAAGATGGACAAGCTCACTGCTGATCCGCCCCCTGCCAGCCTCCAGGGCGACACGCCAGGCTCTGGCTGAGGCAGGGTGTGAGAAAAGCCAGGCAGGTGTTGCCCATCCCACAGGTGTGACTCACCAACATGACAGACAGGTAACCTCCAAGAATTTTTACACCTCTCCCCAGGACACACGCAGTATCTGGAGAGGGTGGCTGACAGGCCTGCTCCTGCAAAGCCCAGGACTCCGCTTGCTGCTCGCCGCTACGCCACCTGGAGAAGGCACTGTCACGCTCCACCCCAGGCGCCAGGAGTGTACGTGACCAGCATCAGTCCCCACACACCCAGCCTTCCGCTGAGCGCAGAGGGTGGCCCTGGTTGCAAAGAGTGGGTGGGGAGGGACATCCAGGTAGGGCCAGGTGTGTTAGGGACCTAGAGAAAAGCCAGCTAAGAACTCAACCAGGGGAGACAGCAGGAGAAGGAGCTGTGAATGAAGGCCCCAAGGCCCTGCTGTACACACCACGGTCAGATTTCACTTACAAAATACAAATTTATTTATTTATTTATTTATTTAATTTTTAAAAGATTTATTTATTTATTTATACAAGCAGTGGGTACAGTCAGAAGCACAGGAGGGTGGGAGAATTCACCAGAGCCAGAGCAGAGAGCAGAACAGGCAGAAGGACGAAGTACACTGCTGAGGGGAGCAGCGGGCGGCAGGAGAGGTCTGCGCGCCATGTGGGACCCTCCTCCGGTGGCCGGGAAGCAGCCGGGGATGGAACCGGCGCTGCAGAGGCTGCGGGCAGCTTCGCAGCCCAGCGTTCAACCGCTGCGCCACCGGGGAGGCCCCAAAATACAAATTTAAAATAAAATTACTACGAATTTCAAGATGGCTACTGCAGAGCCTAAGGCCCCTCAGAGTCCTTCCGAGTATGGGTCTGATGCAGCTACACTGAGCATATGCCGTGGAGCCAGGCAGGGCCCAGACACTATAAAAAATATTAAAAAGTTCTTCAAGTTGAAGTAAAATGATACCAGAGGGAAATATGGATCTAAACAAAGAATGACGAGAACCAAAAATGGCACACTTGGGTATATAAAAGACACTTTGTTCATTATTAATCTCTAAAAGATTGACTGTTCAAAGAAAACATAGCAATGTATTGTGGAATTTATAACATGTGGAAGTAAAATGTAAAAAAAACACAAAAGAAGCAAAGAAAAATGGCAGTATAATATGTAAGCTTCTTGCTCTATATTTGAAGTGGGATGTTATTTGAAGGAGACAGGCTCAAGTTTTTTGTTGTGAACGCTAAAGCAACATTTGAAAGGAAAAAAGGAATAGTTAAGAAGTTAATAACAAAAATTAAATGGAGCTGTAAAAAAATAATGCATGAAAAGATAGAGGTAGGAGGAAAAACCACAAGGACAACAAAAATACCCCACATTGGCCTCCCTGGTGGCGCAAGGAATAAAGCACCGCACTATGGAGCAATCCACAGCCTCTGCAGCACAAGTTCGATCCCCGGCCAGCCAGGGAGCTACCCGCATGGCGCGGCAGACCTCTCCTGACTCGCTTGCTGCTCCCTCAGCAGTGTATTTCAGTCAGTCTGCCTGTTCTGTTCCCCACTCTGTCTCTGGTGAATCCTCTCACCCTCCACATCTCTGGCCTGTACCCCAGCTCTTGTATGCATAAATAAATCAATCTTTTAAAAAAAAATACCCCACATGACACAAACAGAAAATTCAAGATGAGAGACTGAAATCTGACCTTATCAATAATGACGTTATCAAATAAGCTAAGTTCTAAAAAAAAAAAAAAAAAAAAATGGAAAATTCACTGCTTGAAAAGCAAGACTAACTCTATGCTGTCTATTATGTACTTCGAACATCAAGACACAGATGTGTTAAAGAGAGACAAACACTAAGGTAATAAACACCAGCATGATAGCTATATTATTATCAGATAAAAACAGACTCCTGGGCAAGAAATATTAAGCGATAAAAAAGGACATTTCAAATAGATAATAGAACCAATTCATGGAGAGTATCTAACAATCCCAAATACCATGCACCAATTAGCAGTTTCAAAATGCAAGAAACAAAATGTCAGAATTAAAAGGACCAATGGATAAAATCTACAATCTTAGTGAAAATTTCATCACTCTTCACAAGTAACTGATTGGAAAAATAGAAAACCCATAAATACGTAAAAGTCTTGACTATTACTAGCAATCCGCTTGACCTAAGTGACACTGGAACACTACACTGAACAACAATAGACTACATTCTTTATTAGTATACCGGGAACACTTACCAGTAGACCATATGCTGGCTCATAAAATAAATGGTAAATTTAAAAGGACTGAAATAATTCTAATGTTCTCTAACCCACAAGGGAACTGAATTAGCAGTAACAAAAGATATATGGAAGACTTTTGGAATAAATGACTTTTTTTTTTTAAAGATTGATCTATTTATTTAATACAAGAACCGGGGTACAGGCCAGATGTGCGGGAGGGTGACAGGATTCACCAGAGTCAGAGTGGGGAACAGAAGAGGCAGACTGATGAAATGCACTGCTGAGGAAGCAGCGGGCGTGACAGGAGAGGTCTGCTGCGCCATGTGGGACCCTCACCAGCTGGCATCGAACCGGTGCTGCAGAGGCTGCGGACAGCTTCACAGCGTGGTGATCAACCACCTGCACCACCAGGGGAGGCCCGGAATAAATGCTTTTATTAAAAAATGGTTTAGGGCCTGTGGCCTAGGGGTGAAGTCTCAGCAGTATCACCTGTATGGCCTGAGTTCGATCCCCAACCAAGGAGCCAACCCATATATGGCACAGCAGACTTCTGTCTCACCGATGCTCCCTTTAGCAGTGTATTTCAGTAAATCCATCTGTTCTGCACATGAAAAGAAAATATGTTCACACAAGCACCTTTACATGAATGTTCACAGCAGTTTTACTCCTAACAGTCCCACACTGGAGTCAACAAAAAACCATCACCAAGAGAGCGCCTAAACAAACTGATATATTCAGACAATAGGATGTTACTCAACACAAGAGGAACAAACTAATGCTATGCATAATAACTAAGATGTCTCTCAAAGGCATTATGCAGAAATAAAAGTACACACACACGAGTCCATTCATAGGAAAATCCAGAACAGGTAAAATGAATCGCTAATGAAAATTCAGAACAGGGCCTCCCTGATGCTATCCCCAGTCACTGCAGCAAGAGTTTGATCCCTGACCCGGGAGCTAACCCACATGGCACAGCAGACCTCTCCTATCTCCCCGCTGCTCCCCTCAGCAGTGAATTTCAGTAGATCCATCTGTTCTGCTCCCCACTCTGTCTGTGGTGAATCCTCTCACCGCCCCCAGCTGCACCCCAGCACTTGTATGCATACATAAATAAATAAATCTAAAAAAAAAAAAAAATCCAGAACAGGTAAAACTAATCTCTAATGACTCCAGTGGTTTCCTGGGGTCAGAAAGGTAAGAACTAACAAAGGAAATATAAAGCTCTTTTTGGGTAGATAAAAATATTATATACCTGATTGGCATGATAGTTACAGGGGTGTATACACTTGTCAAAACTAATTGACCATACAGTTCAAACAGAAGCCTTTCATGTTTGAAAGCCTTTCATAATTTCAGGGATGAAATTATACCTCAATAAAGTCAACTTTAAAGTTTTTACAAATGAGAAAAGGCCAAATAATTTAAGGATGCTTGAAAAATTCTATGTGTTGTTGTTCTTAATATGATTCAGAAACTCATTGTGACTTTTAAAAAGAATTTAAAATATTCCATTTACTTCACCATTGATTTGCAAAGAATTCAGAGTTACAAAGCAGTTTCAGTTCATCTACCTCCTCTTCTTCTTATTACAACCTCAACAAATCTTACCATGTGTATGTATGTTTTTATAGATGAGTCCCTCAAGCTCAGAAAAAATACAAACTGCCTAAGTTACAAGGGCCCAAAGGTTTCTTCTACATCACAGCTACTATTACAAACTTGACCGCTAATTTTGACTTGTTTTCCTCTGTTAGAGCCATTGAGTTCTCTAATTGTTTTCCCAAGCAGAAAAAACAAAAGCGCGCACACACACAAACACACACACACACACACACACACACGAACTCTAGGATCGCATTTCCTGAATGAATGTTTTAAGGGAAAACACTGCCAATATGAAATTAAAAAAAAAGGGTCTCTGTTGTTGAAGTTAGTACTCCTCAGAGCAGGTGCTACTGGCCTTTGGTATCTTTAATAATGAAGTGATGAGCATTTAATTAAAGTGCTGTTAAACATGTTACCATAGTAAGCAAAAGTCAAGCACAGGATTTTCATTTTGGGGATAGTTTGATTAACTTTGAGTAAAACAATCTTATATTCATTTTTCACAGGAGGTTCCTGTTTGGGGGCTAAAGAAGCTCTGAGTTACCAAAGGCCTATTTGGTGACAAATTTCAGAACTTTTGGAAACAGAACATATGCTGGATTAGGTATGTTAATTTTTTTTTTTTTTTTTAATCACTCTGTATTCAAGCCCAGTTTCCACAGAGCTGGCATTACCTCTCTCTGAACAAGATTTTGATCAGGAAATCTAAAACAAGTTGTCATACAATCATTCCTAAATATCTAAATAATCTGAGATTTGTTCCTAAGTAATGTATTTAGCCCCCAAGGTGTATTACACTATTCACTGCAGTTTTACCTTAAGCTCTTCTTTTGTCCTGGGAAAACAGGGGGCTTAGGTATAAATGCCTATTTTTTAAATGCCAGTTTCAGGTTCAGTGCCAGAATAATTATTTATCTGAAGAAATGGGTGCCAAAAAGATTCCAACTACTCAGCTACTAGAAGGAACACAGCCAAATGGAAACAGAATCACTACTGGTGTCATAGGTGCCTTATTTCAGGAAAGAGATAAGAATAAAAATAAAAATCTCTGGAAAAGATGACCATATTGCCCCCCCCCCACACACACACAAATAAAAACCTCTATTGATTAAAAACTAATAGTAAAACATAGTAGAGGAGAAGATAACTGATACTGATTTTGGCCTACAATCTGCAAGGTACTTTTAACATTTTGACTCTCCTCTAAACCATATGAAGAGACTCATCTTCCTGGGCCATATTCTCCCAAGAGAAAAACAGAGATGAGTGATGTTGTGCCAGCAAGCACAGGGCCGTTTCTTTCTTTCTTTTTTTAAAGATTTATTTATTTATGCATACAAGAGCTGAGGTGTAGGCCGGAGGTGTGGGTGGAGGGAAGAGGATTCAGCAGAGATAGAGTGGGGAACAGAACAGGCAGACTGATGAAATACACTGCTGAGGGGAGCAGCGGGCGAGACAGGAGAGGTCTGCTGCACCATGTGGGTTAGCTCCCTGACCGGGGATTGAACCTGTCCTGCAGTGGCTGCCAACAGCATCATAGTGCTGAGACTTAACCCCTTGCACCACCAGGGAGGCCCAGTTTCAGATATTTTTGATTCACCTTTGAATTCAACTGTGGCAGAGCACCACTGTCATTTCTTTGTGTCTCTTTATCTCCAACAGTGCCGTTTTCTTAGTAAAAATTGGAAGACACAGGACACAGCAGATTAATTATTGGGCTGACTGGTTTGTATTTGCTTTTGGGATTATTTGGTATTTCAGTTCCAATAGTCCATACTGTTAATTAAGGCATGGCGGATTTCCCCTTACCTCTACAAAGCTTCACCATCTATATCAGGGTTGTTATTTGTATCCAAATCGTGTGTTCGTTCCCAGGTGTGAAATTTTCTGTGGCTGGCTAATCAGTTATAAAAGAATCCACTTTGGAATTCAGTTCACTGAAGTTTCCTTGCAAAACAAAAGCAAAAAATAAACTAATAGGACTACATCAAGCGAAAAAGCTTCTGTGCAAGAACCTATCATTAAAACAAAGGTCACCCAACTGAATGGGAAGAAATATCTACACATCATACATCTGACCAAGGGTTAAGAATGTATACAACACAACAAAATATAAATAACCCAGTCAAAAGATGGGCAGAGAGCTAGACACCTCTCCAAAGACACATAGATGGCCAACAGGCACTTGAAAAAATGTTCAGCATCGCGTATCATCAGGGATATACAAATAAAAGCCACATGAGAGACCACCTCACACCTGCGAGACTGGCCCATACTAAAAAATTCAGATGGCATAGGGAAAAAGGAACCCTCATACACTGCTGGTGGAGAGACAGCCCAGGCCCTATGGAAAACAGTATGGAGGAGCCTTAAAATATTAAAAATAGATTATGATCCAGCAATTTCACTCATAGATATCTACCAAAAGAATACAAATATCACTAATTTAGAGGGATATGCATCCCTGCGTTCACTAGAGCACTATTTATGATAGCTAAGTTATGGAAACAACCTAAATCCCAGTGACAGATGGGTGGGTAAAGAAGATGCAATGTATGTACACAATGGAATACTACTCAGCTGTTAAAAAAAGAAATGATGAACTCCTGCAATTTGTCACAACATGGATGGAATGGGAGAGGATTATGCTAAATGAAATAAGTCTGATGGAGAAATGAGGCTGTTAGAGGGTGAGGAAGGGGTAGGGATAGAGACAAGTAAGGGAGGGGTCCCAAGGTCAGAGGTGCTTTGATGGAGGGGGTGCTGTGGTAACATACATCTGAGGCGGTGTGAACCTCTTCCACTAAAACTCATGTACAGTGTTGTAAACCAATGTCACCTCATAAAGGAAAAAAAAAAGTTTCCTTGCATCTACTGCTATTCACTAGCCTCAGAGAAATGTGTGATTTTTATTTAATCTGGGGTTTTCTTTTATATGGGAGCAAATGTTTTTTCCAGTTCTTCTACATCCAAACTGGAAATAGCACAGTATAAAACAGAAAAAAATCAGAATACACTGCATGTAAGTAAGGGAAAGTATTGCTTCAGAAGTGTTTGTTTTAGGGGGTGTGTGTTGATGTGTGTCTGTGTGTCTGTGTGTGTGTGACTAATGGAATGCAAATGTATTTATTATGCTGAGGTATGATTTTTAAAAATTTTGGAAAATCTCCATTCTAGAGACATTAAAGTATACTTCAGTGTAAAGCCAGGAGTTTAGAGAAAGGACACCAGTCTTTCAAGAGCATCGTCTACTGCTAGATCAACCAATGCACTAGAACTGTTCAGAAACCCAAAGATTTTTCACATAGCAACACAAAACAAGTCCCTGGAAAAACATACAAAAACAAATTATTTCAATAGACAACTGATGTTAGATAAGAATAAAACACATCCAGATATTTTAATAACAAACAGTCTTTGGGTCTTTATTAAAGCCAGTTTCTCTATGTGCTATAATTCAATTTGTTGTTTTACTGGCTGCTATTATAAGGTTAAGAATGCAAGCAAAGATTCTGGAGAGAGAATGTGTTTCTTTATATGTGGCCTCCTTAATAAAAAAATCTTAAAATCTTTTAAAATCTCTTTTTTCGAAAATGAAGGAAAGAGACAAGAAGATTCTTTGAACAGAAAATCTGTACCTAGGTAAACAGAATCTTTCCACTCAGTAATCAGTGACATAAACTATAGAAGTGAGTAAGTTATAAAATCTAAGAAACTTTTACTTTCTTAGGGAGGCACCATACCATATAGCATATGAAATAGTCCCAGAGCTAGCCACTTGGAGTTAAACCCTTTGCAGCTTATTTAGTGGTGTGGCCTCATACTCCTAACTTATCCCAGTTTTTATCTATAGTAAAGGAGTAAGACTCATCAGTAGAATTACTGGAAGGATCATAGGAAATCAAAGGGTCTTGTACAAAGAAATGCCCAAAAGGCTATGGCATTATTGTCACAACTTATTTAAATATGGCATGGGGCCTCCATGGTGGCCTAGGGGTTAGGTCTCAGCTCTATCACCATGACCAGAGTTGGATCCCTAGGCAGGAAGCTAACCCAAATATGGCACAACAGACCTCTCTCATCTCTACTCACCCACCCCATCCCTGGACTTCTGGCCTACACCCCAGTTCTTCTACTAAATAAATCAATATTAAAATCATGAATGAATGAATGAATGAATAAATAAGGTATGTTCCTGGTGCCGGCACACATCTTCACCAATCTGATCTCCTCAAAGTCTCTCTCTTCATTTCTATCCCCATGACAACCACCTTAATTCATGCCATTATCACTAACAACCATAACACAGCTACCCACCTCCAGTATCAAACCCCTTCTAAGACTGTCACCAGAGTGCTAGCACTAAAATTTAAATATGGTCTAGTCACAAACAAGTTAGGACCTTTTAGTGGTGCTCTATAAGCTACCAAGGTGGTTATCAAAACAGACTCCCAAAGAACAATGGACTTTTAAGAACCAAAGCAACATTCTACTATCAAAATTGAGTAATTACCAGCTCCTCCCCAAGTGGCCTGCAAAAATACGTAAAATTAGCGGACACAATTTCCTCAATATTAAGTTTTTTCCTCCCCGACTATGTGAAACATTTGACGCCTGCTGCTATCTATGGCGCTGGTGAACACTGACAAAATGGAAAAGCAGAGACATACATGGGAGACAAGTATTAATGCAAAAGGTTGGGGCAACTCAATCATGAATTTCAAAGCTTTCTTAAAATGTCATCAGTGTACATGTTTTTACAGTGCACACACAAAATGTGGCCATGATTTTGCTAATTTTTTTTGGTTTAAATGATAAAATTGAACATGTAAAGATTTCATGGAGTACCAAAATAAAGTTCATACTTCTCAACAAGACTTTCAACTTAATTCCAACCCTGACTCCTGCCACTTACCTTGCTCACCTGCATTAGCACCTACTAGCAGTTTGGAGCTAGAATGCTAGACTTAGACAGGGTCCAAATATCACCAGGTCTGGTTCTTGGCTGTGTAACCTTGGACAAATAACTTAATCCTAAAATTGCTGCCTTATCTTTAAGGTAAGAATGATGATAGATAAAACTCATCATTGAGCACTTACTATCCACCACATACAGCTGTGCTCATGTTACCACTAGTACCTCATCTAATTCTTGTAACAATCCCATGAGGTAAATACTGTTTTAATCCTCATTCTGCAGGTGAGAAAACAAGGCACAAAGTGGTTAAGTAACTGACAAAAACCTTCACACTTTGTGCCACAGCAGACACAGGTATTCAATATTCTATATGTGTTGTGAGTATTAAATGAGATGATGTAAATAAGGTGTTTAATACAGTTCCCTGGCATACAGTAACTGCTCAATAAATGATTGCTAAAATATTCATTGCTAATATTCATTTCCCAAACACACCATGCATTTTAAGAACAATTTAAAGTTTTTCTGTGAGACCTTCCTTAGCACTTAACCCAGAGTTAATCACTCTTAGTGTTTCCGTAACACCTATTAGTATTCTATAATCTTTTCCCATTTATGAATTCCTCTTATAACCAAAACTTGTGTATACTTTTTCAATGACCTCAAAAATACAAATTTTCTGCAGTGATTCTTGCTGGAAATACTTCAAAAAGAAGAAACTCTGGGATGAAAATGAAAAGAGAGAACATTAATAGCTAAGGAGAAATAAATGCTTCTGAGATCCTATCTTTATGGACCTAAAATAAAATTAAATCTCTGCTGTACTTTTACAGCAGAGGATGCTAAGACAAAAATTGTCGGAGAAAATGAAGACGGTAAAACCTGCACAAGAAGGTTTTTGAAGGGCCCATATTACTTGATATGTTTGCATTTGCTATTAAGCACATTTAATTAAAATGTTAATAGAGTATTTAACTAGTAATGCCATGGGGCAAACTTTCAATGAAATTCACAGGATAAAAGCATAAAATTCTTCACTAAATTTAGTGGAAAATATTACAAAGTTAATGATACAGGAATAAAGCAATAAAGGAAAAAAAGCTAATGTCAAATGGGCTTTTACAGTTCAAACTTTTATCATCTTGTTGACTGTTCCCTGAATAACAAATCTTCAAAGAAAGCACATACAGGATATCAGCCTTTTATCTCTCTCCTATCAGAGGAAACAGCCTCATAGGTAACTAAAAATGGTTCCCAAAATAGCAAAGAAACTTTAAAAATTCTAATATTACTAATAACCTACAAGATAAACTTCTCAAGCTGTTATTCCTATTGCAAATAGGAAAGTCTTCAAAAAAAATGTTTGATTCTTGAGCAGTTCTGTAGAGACATCTTTCATGGAGAATTTTTTTTTTTTTAATGAAAGAATGAAAACTGATGATAGCTGATTTAGTTCAGATAATATTGTGAATTTTGAGGCACAAATGAAAGAAAATAAGGCTAACTTTGTTCTACAGGGCTGGTTACGCACATTATTAGGAAAGGAAAAACAAAACCCAAAAACTTCCAAATGGAACTCACCACAATACACAGAAGAGTTTCAATGACTGAATTAAACTATTTAAAACAAAATACTAACTTGTCGATGCCATTCAGCATTTAAGCAAGAGTTTTTCTTGAAAACTGAAGAGTAGGGCCTCTCCGGTGGCGCAGCGGTTGAACGCCGGGTTGTGAAGCTGCCCGCAGCCTCTGCAGCACCGGTTCGATCCCCAGCTGCTCCCCGGGCACTGGAGGAGGGTCCCACATGGCGCGCAGACCTCTCCTGCCGCCCGCTGCTCCCCTCAGCAGTGTACTTCGGTCCTTCTGCCTGCTCTGCTCCCCGCTCTGGCTCTGGTGAATTCTCTCACCCTCCCGCGCTTCTGACTGTACCCAATACTTGTATAAATAAATAAATAAATCTTTAAAAACAAAAAACAAAAAACAAAAACTGAAGCGTATATTTCCATCTCTGCTCCCCAATGCCATCAGCGATACTTGCACGCTAACTGGAGAGTGTCGTTGAGCTTAACAAAGTGGGACAATAGCTAAAAGTGACCATACATGTGAGGGTGTCACTGTCCACACCTCTTTTGTTGGGGAATCCTTTGGGATTCCTTCCTTAGATCAAGTCTAACAAGAGAGAAGAATCTGGTGTCAATTTGTGTATTAAATATTTAGGAAAGCGAAATGTTAGCTTCTTCCTCAGGTGAAATGAACATAAACACTATTTCTAATGCTCTTTTCACGTCCTAACTTAGTATTCTCTCGCTGCCCTAACTACAGCAGATCACAAGCACCAACGAAGGTATTGCAACCCCTCCATGCATCATCTTTCATGTTTACCATTTTACGAGGTAAGCTGAGAATATGCAGGGATCTGCTAAAATAACCAGGTGGCCAAAAGTTCTGTGAATGTAGAAAGTATAATCACCCTTTCCTTTGAGACTCAAAAGGAGTATTCACAAAAAGCAACAACTCTTTTAACCTGGCTTCACTGAGGCATGATTGACAGATAACACTGTAAGTTTAAGGTGTGCAACATGATGATTTGCTAGACATATATGCTGTGAAATGATCACAGTGAGGTCAGTTAACACATCCGCCATCTAACTACTATTTTTTGTAGTGAGATATTTAGGACGTTCTCTTAGCAAGAGTATGGTTAACTTAGAGTCACCAAGAACTATTTTTTGAAAGGTGTGGACTAAAAGCTGACTGAAGTTGTTTACATCTGGATATCCTGACTGACAGGGAAACACAAAGGAAGCCTCGTGGAGAAGGGGAGAGGCAGACTCTATAGGCAGGAGGAAAGAATATCGCAGTTTGGGGCAACCAGTACTCGGTCTAAATGCCAAGGAGACCAGGAGCCCCAACGGTAGCTGTGCTTCTGCAGCAGCTGGACCTCAGCAGTGTTCCCAGGCAGCACCTAGGTCAGAGACCACCTAAGTGTGGCAAACTGCCGCACACACACGACTGTATCAGTGCCAAGAGGTCACATGGGCCACTGGGGAAACAGGCCTTGAGCCAAGTGAAATAAGAACTTCCCAAACCAGCTTCTTTTGCCATCAAGTCAGTCAAGTCTATCAGGACTTACAGAAAAATTCAAAATCCCTAGCCACACCTCACCTCTTAGAATGTAGCAGATAATTCTGACATCAAAGAGATACTTTAGAGCAAAGAGACCAATACAGACTTGGAAATCAGATTCACAGGAGCCAAGAGGGCCTTGTGTGCTGGGGAATCCTTATCTGATTCCTCCCTAAGAACAGGGACCCAGCGCTCAGCAACTCCGGCCTTCTTCTGGGTCTCCTGCATGAGCCAAGGAGTTTCTTTGGAAGGCATATTCAATTTCTGATGTGCAAAGTATAAAAATGCTTCAATCACAGATGAGACAGATGTGAATGTTAGATGTAGCAAAACAGAGATGCAGCATTACTGTGTCAGCCAAAGGGGGTGAGAGCAGTTTAATTTGTACAGCGGCTTATCTAAATAGATGATTAATGCCGACTTGATCCACCAGATGACGATCCTCACTATTTAAATCTCTAATACTTTGATGGTTTCTCAAGCCATTGAGTTGTTTTTTTAACTCACATCTTCCTTACTGTTGAGTAACGTTTGTGAAAGTAATAAAAACTAATTTTCTTAGATTAGAACGCCTGCCAAAAACTCTGCCCACTAGCACATTGATTAAAGCACATCCCTGGGCTAAAACATGAGGATCATACTAAAAAATGACTAACGTAAAGAGTCAACTAAATTTACTTAAGAAAAACAAACTTAGATACTTTGAAAAATACATCATTTAACCTCAAAGTTTTAAAAGATGTTAGGCCTCCCTGGTGGCGCAGCAGGTTGAGAGCCGCGCTGTGAAGCTGTCCATAGCCTCTGCAGTGCCGGTTCGATCCCCGCCGGCCACGATGCAACCCACATGGCGAGCAGACCTCTCCTGCCGCCCGCTGCTCCCCTCAGCAGTGTACCTCGGTCCTTCTGCCTGTTCTGCTCCCCGCTCTGGCCCTGGTGAATTCTTTCACCCTCCCGCACTTCTGACTGTACCCAGTGCTTGTATAAACAAAAACAAAACAAACAAACAAACAAAATAAATAAATAAATAAATGCCTCTTTAAAAAAAAAAAGAAGGCTATGATTTAACAGGGCACTCACTTAACTCAACTGCGGTCCAAGGTGCCCTCTCGGACTAACTCAGTTCTTACCCATTTCTGATCAACACTAGAAATTAATTACCACTATCCAAATATTTTCAGCAATTAAAGTGTAAAGGAAAAAAAAAAGCAGCAGATAACCAAAGAGGTGTGTGTACACAGCAATGTGATGTTTCAGAGGATAAGCATTATTTATTAAGTGTACCAAGCACTGCACTTAGTACCTACTTTCATTATTATATTTAATTCTCACAGCTCTGGGAGATCGTTATTATTATTATTATCTCCATATTGTGGATGAAGAGCTGAGACTAAACTGGTGAAGTAAATGACTCAAGGTAACACAGACTTAGTTCTAATTTACTCCAAAGTGTGCACATTTACCCATTATTACTTGTCTGACTAGACATAACAATAATATCAGTTAATATAACAGGATGTCAAATGCACCTTTTCCTGTCTTACTGAGTTTCGGTAGGACCTCAAAGGACGAAATCAAAACAATAGGAGTCAAATACTTCCATATTGTGAACAGAAGTGAGAAGCTTATGAACTGGGGTGCCCAGTACCTGGCTCTCATCAAGACTACATGAGAAGAATCACAATTCATTAATTATGAGAATTAGCAGGGACAAGAGAAAGATCTCCTTTAAAGAAAATAGGTGGTATGTGTTTCTCTCCCTCCTAAAAGGAAGGTGGTGTGTGTTTCTCTGCCCACCTCCAGCCCAGGACTGAAACCTCAAGATAACCACCCAGCACTGGGCCTGTACCCAGAAGCAGAGTGACACAGACCCCACTATCTGCCCCCTGCAGGGGTGATAAAACGAGCTGGCTCATAGCTCCACTTCTCAGGACCACGTAGGTACGACAGTTCAATTCAACATGTTAGCAGAAGAGACTCTTTTATAAAATGCCACAATGTGGAAAATTACATATAAAATTAACTTTAATCACACGAAATGTTAGAATTTCATTATATTAATGCAATGTTAGTAACTATACCTATAAGTGAAATTTATCATTTTTAAATCAAACTCCACTTTTTAAAAATCCCCTTAATAGTAAGAGAAAGAACTGTCCTAAATAGGAACTTTTCAACCTTACAGAGAGCTTCAAATAACTTTTTTTCCCCCCAAATAATTTCAAAGTCAACTTAAACCTAGCTTTTAAGTCACCAACTCCAATTTGGCCAAGTTCTTCTTAGAACAACCCTGGAAAATAAAGGCAGCAAAGTTCTTATGGCGTTCAATAGTAGAGAAGAAGTTTTGGAAAACTACAAAGAAGTAATTTTTAAGGTTTTTTTAAGCCACTGAGTACCACTACTACTTTTTAGAAATTCTGAAAATAGAGAAAATGGGAAAAAATACCTATTATTCTATACCTGCCTCCAGCATAATCACAGGTATATTTTGGTATATTTCCTCCCTGTCTTTTTTCAAAACCATTTTTAAATAAAGTTGCAATTATACCACATATGTAGTTGTATCCTGCCTTCTTCCTAGCATTCTACAAAAAGTGGCACTTTTCAAGGATTAAAAAAACTACAGCATAACAGGTTCTCCTTAAAAGAGTACACTAGCATTCATTTACAATGTAGCTTCCTACCTCATTCTAAAGCTAAAAAGCCAGGAAGACCAATTTTTCAAGTTTTCAAATCACATGCCAAAGTTAAACAGCCATAGGATACTTTCTCTCTCTTGACAAGGCAAGAAAGACAAGAAAAAGTAAACCTGCATTCACATCATTATTCAGCAGTCTTATTTCTCAAATTATCGTTTAAAACCCACAAAGTATTGGGCCTCCCTGATGGCACAAGGGTTAAGTCTCAGCACTATGAAGCTATCCACAGCCTCTGGCCAGGGAGCTACCCACATGGCGCAGCAGACCTCTCCTGTCTTGCCCGCTGCTCCCCTTAGCAGTGTTTTCGGTCCATCTGCCTGTTCTGCTCCCCACTCTGTCTCTGGTGAACCCTCTCATCCTGGCACATCTGGCCTGCACCCCAGCTTTTGTACGCATAAATAAAAAAAATCTTAAAAAAATAAAACCCACGAAGTACTGAGTCTGCAACATACTAACTTGCAAGCCCCACGATATCACTTAGACACAATCAAAATTATCACTAAGATCAAAAATCATTACCAGCTCTTCCTTCCCCTTCCAGCACATCAAGTCCACTAATCCTTAAGTGCACAACTTCTTGAACAATTTGGCCCTAAATCCATTCAGTGGGACAGAGCCAGGCAGGCATCCACGCTATGCTGTGGAGCCACAGCAGCCAATGTCAGGATGTGAGGGCACCAGCGCACGTGGAGGAGAACAGCCGTGCAGGAGTTAGGAGGGGGTGCCGGCCCAACAGACGAAGGGCAACGGTCCACCAAGGGCACCTAGCATGAGCTCCCAGTGCCTGAGCAGACCGTGGGGTACCGGACAGAAGAGCACCTTCGTGGGAGGGGAACACGGCTCAGAGTAATAACCAAGAACACCCGCCTTGGGCTGGGTGCCCACGATGGGTGCCTGTGCGATACACAAGCTGCTCAGACAGAACTCCTAGACTGAATCCCGTGCAGGTGCTAAAAAGAATGAGGCAGTTTGTGGCAGTTACAGAAAGATGCGCAAAGTAGAAGTGAGAAAAAAGCGAGAACCGATTCTCCAGTATGATTCCTTTTCTGTAAGATACACGGGTGTTTATATAGGAATACAAACCCACCTTCACGCCCACTTTGTAACGACAGGGATGTGTACATTCTAATTTAAAAAAATAAACACAAATCACTTGTATAGCAATTGTGTCCAACTTACATCTTAAATTTACATTTTAAAAGGTTCATCAAATATGTTCTAAGCTCCCACTTCACAAATAAGGCAATGTGGGAATTGAAATAGCAATAAAAGGAGTTATGCTTTATTAAATCTATCATAATTATTTACCGAATCTACTACATGCCAGTCACTCAATTCTCACAGCACCTCTTTAAGGTAGTAAGTATTTCGGATTAAGTTTGGGTATAAATAATTTAAAAACAGCAGAGGGTTGGCTTGACCAATGCTTGTTAAACAAATATGTTTCTCTGCTACTTAAAAAAAGAGCAGGAAGCTGAAGGTATCATCATTCCCCAGGTTCCTCCTCCTGTATTTCTGCCCATCCATCCTCAATACAGCTTCTGTCTATAGGGCCCTCCCTGGTAGCAGAGGCGGTTGAGCGCAGCACTGTGAAGCTGTCTGCAGCTTCTGCAGTGCAGGTTCCATCCCGGCCGGGGAGCTACTCACATGGTGCAGCAGACCTCTCCTGCCTCGCCCGCTGCTCCCCTCAGCAGTGTATTTCCGTCAGTCTGCCTGTTCTGTTCCCCACTCTGTCTCTGGCGAATCCTCTCACCCTCCCGCACATCTATCCTGCACCCCGGTTCTTGTACAAATAAATAAATCTTTAAAAAAAAAAATCACTTTGTAGTCCATACTAGGTGTTCGTGCCAGGTGCTGAGCTCCAGCTATTACATCCCATTGCAGGAAGCAGGAAGGAAGAAAGGGCAGCTCTTCTGAAGCAGCATTCCCGAGCGTTCCATATAACACTTTTATTAGCTAATCAGGGCTTAGTCACACATACTAGATGCATGTCAGGCTAGGAAATGGAATCTTTATCCTTTGTCCTGCAATGCACCCAGCTAAAATGTTGAGGACTATTACTTAGAAGAATGGATATCAGAGAAGGCAAAGAAAAACTCTACCACGAGCTGGTGTTACCCTCATTTCGATAATAACATAGAGATACAAAGTCAAAATGTTAAAAGTGTCTTTAACCCCTGCGCCGCCAGGGAGGCCCCAACAGGTGGATTATTTCTAGGTTTTGGCTTTTATGAAGAAATCTGTTATGAACATTCTCGGAGCCGTTTCTGATCTATATAATCACTCACTTCTCCTGGGTATTAACCAGGGATAGGATGGCTGGGCTGTAGGGTACACACATGTTTTAACACACACTGTCACAAAGCTATTGTGAGGTGTGGGACCAGCCTGCAACCTGAGCAGCAGTTCGTGGGTTCCAGTCACCCCCCAGTCTCACCGCCTCTTGGACTGTCAGTCTCTCATCTCAGCCACTCTGCTCTGCAGTGGCATCCAGCCTGGTTCCCACATAAACTATAAAAATGACTTGTTTCTTACCATACCACACATGCTTTGTTACTATATAATCATAAGATATTTTTAAGAGTAACGTTTACAGAACATTATGTTCTATCGGAATCAAGCTCTATAAACTCCAGACACACGACCACTCCAAAACAGTTCAGTTCCGGGAAATTCTGCGTCACTCTTCTTCTATCATAGAGAGTAGGTAATTTAAGCCAGGAAAGTAGACAAAAGATGGAAGAAAATAGCAGGAGTGTGTGTAATGAAACCCACAGGAGCCAAAGGAAGAGCATCTTCCAACAGCAAAGAACAGTCAGCAGCGACTGCTGTACTGGCAAAGGGTCACATAAAGTACAGACTTGCAATGTCTACTGGTCATCAGGCCCCAGCCGAGAGCAGGTTCAGTCCTACGAAGGAAAGTGAAGGGAGGTCACAGTGACTTCAGAAATGGATGGGACAAAAAAGAATGGAGACCACCTTTTCATGGAGGGATCCAGGGAGGCAGGTGTAACGGAGTATAGGCTGGAATACAGGGCCAGGAACCTGACCCTAGCCCTAACCCTGAGCTTGGTTAAACACTGGTGGAAAGGGGTCAGCAGAGGCGAGAGAAGAAACAAGGACAGAGAGCAGACACCAAGAAGGCCAGAGTGCATGGCCCTCCAGCTTGAGCTGCAAAGATCAGCCTTTCCCAGGAGGGGGGCGGCTCTTCCACAGCAACAGCTTATGGAGACATAAGCGCATGGGGAAGTGTGGAAGTTCAGTGGCCATACAGTGACCAACTTCCCCTCTGACAGCTTCTGTTTTCTCTCTGAATTAACAGGCTCAACGATTTGCTGAGAATAAAATGAGAGGGAAAAGCCGAAAGTTTAAGGATAGTAAGAGACATTATGGAGAAGCAGCAGGAAGAATACACAGGCTTCCTAAGGACAACGTTTTTAAAAAGCAAAGATTAGGGACTAAAGGTGAAATGAAAAGAGACAATCAGACAGAGTCAGGAGAAGACTAGAGAAACGAACAGAAGCAGGGTAATGTGGATTCATGGGAGGAAAATGTCCCAAAAAGAAAAGAACATGAGATGAGCATGATATTGGAAGGAGAGTGAGAACTGAAAAAGGGTCCTTGTACTTGGTAACAGAGCATTAAATAAACACTGTCAAAAGGACAGTGAGGACAGGTAACAGTTGAAGCTTAGGGAAAAATGAGTGAGAAAATGGGGCAAAAGCATGAATACAGCCATTTATTATAAAGTTAGTGACGAGAATTAAAAACAAAAGGGAGAAACAACATCAACTATAACATTTTAAAGTTGTGGGGGAAAGCTATCTATTTTTTAAATGCAGCCAAAAAAACAATGAAATACAAATATATGGGATGGTGGCCTAGGGGTTAAGTCTCAGTGCCATCACCACTAGGGCCTGAGTTGCATTTCCCACCACGGAGCTACCCACATGGCACGGCAGACCTCTCCTCTCTCCCCGCTGCTCCCCTTGGCAATGTATTTCAGTCGGTCTGCCTGTTCTGTTCCCCACTCTATCTCTGGTGAATCCTCTCACCCATCCCCTATAGATCTGGCCTGTACCCCAGTTCATGCATGCATAAATAAAATAAAATAAATCTTAAAAAAATATATATGGGATGGAAATTAAGTCTCATGGGAAAAAAAAAAAAGGAAGTGAGGTCCGGAGCCTGAGGACGGTATTTCTCAGAGAACTGGAAGTAAGATGAGACAATACGTGTACAATAATGACGGTCCAACTCAGTCAAGTCTGCTTTTACCATATAACCTCATAATCTATGAAAATATAACCATGCTTTGCTTTGAGTCTGGCTGCTTGAGGGTACCATCTTTAAGAGCTGTTCAAAAATGAGCTGGGTAGTTAAATTAATAGTGGGACACTCGACTGAAGCTGGAGAGCATGATCCTTAGAGGGTCAGGCCTGTATGAGTCTTCATCTCCTTCCTAGAAGGAGGCACAAGGAAAGCAGGAAAATATAGTATCATTAGGGGCAGAGATAGAATGAGCAATCAATTTTTCTGGGGATGAATACAAAATTAAAGAGGTATGGGCAGTGACAGTCAAAGTGAGTGTTGGCAGAGTTTTATATAAAGAAAACACACACACACGTGTACATGGCTAAGGGTCTGGAGCCTGCCTGGGGGGACAAGTGGGTTCCCAATTAAATCATTTCTCTTTCTCTTGTGCTCCAGGCCAGTGTTTCATGAGCTCTTCTACCCAAAACCCATGGTAAGAAAAACATTTGAGATTATTACACACACAAACAACTGAAACAGAAGTTTCATAAAACAGTAATTACAGTCACTGCATATGATAAAGTAAAACACAGTTAACATCAAACAGCACTTTACCATTATTTAAGTACTTCTGAGACTCTGAAATAAATGTTAAAATTAGAAAAGACTCAAAGGAATGAAATGGTGACATTTCCTGTTCATAAATTCATTCCAGTGGAAAACACAGGACAATGCTAGGTACTTATTAAGTTCACTATAGTCTTTTATTCTTTTGCTTTAAATTGGGTCAGGGTTGAAAATCCATGTTGAAACAATAAGGTGATGTGAATGGTAAAAATAGTACTACACTCTTCCTACTTAGCAATGGAAATTCTTTAGTCTTAACACAAATTGATGAAAAGCACCATCAAGGCCTCATTCTTCAGAATAAATAAAGAACTAAGCTGCAAGAATTCATTTTCAACTAGAATTTAGCTAAGGAAGAAAGAAGAATTCATTTTCATCTTTCAATATACACTGAACTTAAACATTGCCAGAGTAAGCCTTCTAGCCCATGTTTTTAACAGTTCAAACTTCTCTTCAAGAAAATAGTAAGTCTGGAGACAAGGAAATGAGCTCTAGATTTTATTTTGTTCAAATTGTCTTCACTGATAGTGCTCTTTGCAGAGGTAGCAATAATGCGTGAAAGTGGCTAGAGCAAAAGTTTTATTTGCATAACACTGTCTCTCAAATCTTAGATGGCTTCAAATTTGACTTTACTAGATCATCACAAATCAGTTAAATACGCAAGTCTTGTTATTCAAAACTACTGGGAAATATCTGCCAAATGAGATTGATTTTCCACTAGAAAAATTCTAGATTCACACAATCTGTTTAGCTCCTTATCTCTTAACCATCAGACTTCATTGTGTCACAGTAAATAGATATAATTAGTTATGACTAACAAAGTCGTTTAAAAACTTGGCTACTCAGCAAGCCTCCTTGAGCATAGTTAACAACTTTCCATGGTTTTTAATATATCCATGAAATTCAGAAGGTTTCCTATGCATACCAAAGCCTATCAATACATGAAACAATAATTCCAACAGCATTCCAAATCCTTAGCATAAAATGGGGCGGCAAGGCCCAGCCATGGCCCCAGACTGCGTGCTCGCTCATGCCCAGCTACTGCTCCTAAGGGACCATGGTCCTGCTGCACAGACAACCA